TTGAGGACTTCCCAGGGAGAGAGGCTGAACTCCCCTGTGGCTATAAAAATAGTGAAATATGCTGTATCTCTGAACTAGCAAGACAATACCCTGTCCTAGGGGGACAGGAACAAAAAAGACTGGGGAACTCGGGCGTAGGAGGGGCTTTTATAGGACAGGGAAGTACAATTCAACCCTTTTGTTCCTGTCAACTAGGGGTCGGAGGACTAAAACCCATTTGTCAGTGCTGCCATGGATATGAACAGGAAAATTAGGACATTCACCATAAGAATATTTTTCCCAAAATGTATACCCATCCATGGATGCATAATGTCTGAGTTACCATACAAAATCTCAGGGGGAACTAAAGATAAAGTACACTAGACCTGTGCACTGCCAAAAAATTAGTTTCGTTTTAAATTCGGATTTGTGTTATTTCGTTTTTCGGGATTCGGGTGTGAAAGTCAATTCGGATTCGGACGAAATTCATTAGCGGTAGTTCGTTCGAACGTTCGTTTTGGTTTCTTATTCGTTTCGTTCATTCGTTCGTTCGTTTGCAGCAAAGTGACATTTGAGGGGGAAAATGTTTTTCTTCAACGGACGAAACGAATAAGAAACGAAAACGAAACGAACGTTCGAACGAACTACCGCTACCGAATTTCGGAAACGGAAATTCGGATTCGTTTGCATTCGTTATATCTGTAATTCGGATACATCCGAATGTCCGAATTTCCGAAAATTCGTCCGAATAGCAGAAATGATGAATGAAAATGAATCTGAATTTCCCAAAAGGAAATTTCAGACGAAATTCGTTAGCGGTAGTCTGTACGAATGTTCGTTTGCGGATGAATTTTCGTTGCAGCAAAGTAACACTAATAAAACAAAAAAAAATGTATGCCACTTTGCTGCAACGAAACGAAAATGAAACGGAAATTCGTACAGACAACCGCTAATGAATTTCTTCCGAATCCAAATCCCGAAACGAATGGACTTTTCCGACCCGAATCCCGAAAAACGAAATAACGCAAGATCTGAATCAAAACGAAACTAAACTAAACTAATTTTGTTGCCGGTGCACATGTCTAGCCACTGGCCACAGGTCTCCAAGTCAACTTCTCAGAGCCTCCAGCCATCAGCTACAACCTCCTTCAGAGAGTGTGAAACATTAAGAAGGGATCCCGATGGTCATCAGATGTGACCCATTGCAAGGATGAAACCAGTAAAATAATTATTGTGGCTTTAGCCTTTGGGGCCAGGGCAGAAGGGAGATGATTTATACTGGAATCATCTTAAAGCAGATCTGAAGCCAAAACTGTTTTGGCTTTAGTTGTGGATAGAGTAAGGGAGGGTTACAACCTCTGTTAGCTTCTTTTGCCATCTGCAGATAGGGTAGATTTCCCTTCCTGTCCAATAGGCACAACAGGAAGTCTGGGGAAATCCATCCAAACTGAGGGACATCCCTAGTGGTCAACTAGGTCCCCATTGGAAGATTTCCCACCTATTCCTCTTCTGGTGACAACCCAACATTTGGGATCTTATCAGGGCCGGTGCTAGGATTCTTGCCTACACAGGCAAGGTGCATTTTTGCGCCCTCCCCGACCCCCTGTAAAAACAAGGCATTTTGACAAGTACTTGTACTTGTCAAAATGCCCCGATGTTTGCGCTATGGTTTTTTTTTTTCCACTTACCTTCGGCGCGGGAGAGCAGCGGCGAGTCAGCGCTGGTCCGGTGGGAGGAGCTCCAGGTGGGGTCCTAATTTAGCTGGCCGGTGACTGCCTGAGGTGCCGCGCATGTCGGGATCCTCAGGCAGTCGCCGGCCAGCTAAATTAGGACCCCACCTGGAGCTCCTCCCACTGGACCAGCGCTGACTCGCCGCTGCTCTCCCGCACCGAAGGTAAGTGGAAAAAAAAACATAGCGCAAACATCAGGGCATTTTGACAAGTACAAGTACTTGTCAAAATGCCCTGTTTTTTCCGCCCTCAGGCGGCCGCCTGACTTGCGGTAGCGCCGGGCCTGGATCTTATTCACTTTCACTTCTCATTCTTTTACAGGAGTAGGGGTAAAAACTATGGGTTTTACCTCTACTCCTGATCTATCATTCTATCTATCTATCTATCTATCTATCTATCTATCTATCTATCTATCTACAGTAAACTCTCGGTTATCTAGTATCTCTTATCTAACCAGAAAAAAATCCTCTGTGTACTCACTGTTCTGCTGATCTGAGACTATTTGTCTTAATTTGCTTTGATTACTGCATACTGTGCTCAGTTCCCGGGTCTGTACACCTGCTGTGCCCATTATGAGGGGTTCCCAGCATCCCTGTGCTGAGTTCCCGGGTCTGTACACCCGCTGTGCCCATTATGAGGGGTTCCCAGCATCCCTGTGCTGAGTTCCCGGGTCTGTACACCCGCTGTGCCCATTATGAGGGGTTCCCAGCATCCCTGTGCTGAGTTCCCGGGTCTGTACACCCGCTGTGCCCATTATGAGGGGTTCCCAGCATCCCTGTGCTGAGTTCCCGGGTCTGTACACCCGCTGTGCCCATTATGAGGGGTTCCCAGCATCCCTGTGCTGAGTTCCCGGGTCTGTACACCCGCTGTGCCCATTATGAGGGGTTCCCAGCATCCCTGTGCTGAGTTCCCGGGTCTGTACACCCGCTGTGCCCATTATGAGGGGTTCCCAGCATCCCTGTGCTGAGTTCCCGGGTCTGTACACCCGCTGTGCCCATTATGAGGGGTTCCCAGCATCCCTGTGCTGAGTTCCCGGGTCTGTACACCCGCTGTGCCCATTATGAGGGGTTCCCAGCATCCCTGTGCTGAGTTCCCGGGTCTGTACACCCGCTGTGCCCATTATGAGGGGTTCCCAGCATCCCTGTGCTGAGTTCCCGGGTCTGTACACCCGCTGTGCCCATTATGAGGGGTTCCCAGCATCCCTGTGCTGAGTTCCCGGGTCTGTACACCCGCTGTGCCCATTATGAGGGGTTCCCAGCATCCCTGTGCTGAGTTCCCGGGTCTGTACACCCGCTGTGCCCATTATGAGGGGTTCCCAGCATCCCTGTGCTGAGTTCCCGGGTCTGTACACCCGCTGTGCCCATTATGAGGGGTTCCCAGCATCCCTGTGCTGAGTTCCCGGGTCTGTACACCCGCTGTGCCCATTATGAGGGGTTCCCAGCATCCCTGTGCTGAGTTCCCGGGTCTGTACACCCGCTGTGCCCATTATGAGGGGTTCCCAGCATCCCTGTGCTGAGTTCCCGGGTCTGTACACCCGCTGTGCCCATTATGAGGGGTTCCCAGCATCCCTGTGCTGAGTTCCCGGGTCTGTACACCCGCTGTGCCCATTATGAGGGGTTCCCAGCATCCCTGTGCTGAGTTCCCGGGTCTGTACACCCGCTGTGCCCATTATGAGGGGTTCCCAGCATCCCTGTGCTGAGTTCCCGGGTCTGTACACCCGCTGTGCCCATTATGAGGGGTTCCCAGCATCCCTGTGCTGAGTTCCCGGGTCTGTACACCCGCTGTGCCCATTATGAGGGGTTCCCAGCATCCCTGTGCTGAGTTCCCGGGTCTGTACACCCGCTGTGCCCATTATGAGGGGTTCCCAGCATCCCTGTGCTGAGTTCCCGGGTCTGTACACCCGCTGTGCCCATTATGAGGGGTTCCCAGCATCCCTGTGCTGAGTTCCCGGGTCTGTACACCCGCTGTGCCCATTATGAGGGGTTCCCAGCATCCCTGTGCTGAGTTCCCGGGTCTGTACACCCGCTGTGCCCATTATGAGGGGTTCCCAGCATCCCTGTGCTGAGTTCCCGGGTCTGTACACCCGCTGTGCCCATTATGAGGGGTTCCCAGCATCCCTGTGCTGAGTTCCCGGGTCTGTACACCTGCTGTGCCCATTATAATTTGGCCCCGTAGCTGTCACATGGTCTGATATGGCTGTGCTCACACGCTTGATAATGTACATGTTGTACATTTTACAAATTTAGGTATTTCCAGGCAAGAACATGGAATGCCAATGTGGGTGATGTCCATCCAGCCTTGAGATTTACACAGCTCAGACAATGCATGCCATAACCCTATGTTAAAAACGCCTGAGACTGGAAGCATGTTTACAGCACAGTATGGATTCAGCTTAAGGACCCATTCACACTGACATGAGGCCTGAATACATTTGTTAATGAGCCCTGTACATGCGTCTACAGACATAAAACACACAGGGCAAATATATTATAACACTGCTGTTTTCTGTTGAGCGCGTTCATGGAAATAGATTGGTGCGCACCTCATAGTGCATACAACGCACATGACAGGGGACTCCCCAACAGGTACAGAACACTTAAATGAGCCCTAAGCCTCCCATGAGGCATTGCAAGGCACTGATGGCCACAGGCATGACTTCCAAAAGCAGAGGTGATAGGATTTGTAGCTTCACCGCAGCTGGAGAACCGTGGTTGCTTACAGCTAGTACATGCTGATAGTGCAGCTCACTCCATGCGGTGCCATTCGTTCCATCCGTTTTGGGGATAATTTGCTACTTTCATGGCATTTTCCTGTCTAGCTCCAGTTGAATGAGGTGACTGCCAGCAAATGGTCAAAATCAACCATGTAACTTAGGCCTATGCTGAGTGAGCCAGCCATTTGGGTGTGGTAATGATCTGCCCCAGCTGGGGGTATTACTTGCTGGTGGGAGGGGTATATATATATGGCAGATCACTCTTCCTTCATCCTTGTGCTGTGGCTCTTGTGTCCAAGATGGGTCTAGGTTTGAGGAATTGCTGCAGTTGGCTGGTGCTGGTGTCTCTGGTTTATAGCGTGGAATGTGGCTGTGCTGGCGATTGTGGTTTGGTGAGACAAAGGCGCCAGTCAGATTGGTGGAGGAACTACCAGCAGGTTGTACCTCGCCAGAGGTCTTCTCAATGGGGATCCAGAGGGCTTTACTGGGGAGGTAATCAGGGTGTGCTTGGAGCTTTCAGAGGTGGGATTCAGAGGGGTTCATCCGGTGAACGTGGCTTTCCAACTGGAGATTCCCCCATCAGCCTTCAGTGTGAAGAGGACACCATGATGGTCCGTGTCTATAGGAATTTTTATGGGACTGGAAAGCTAGTGAATCCTTCTGACCTGAGCCTTGGACCCCAACGTTGCAAGCCAGACAGCCAAAGTACTGAAATGGTGGTCTTCCAGGTTAAACTTCAGGACTGTGGCAACGCTGTGCAGGTAATCTCTACACTTTAACATTTCACATCCTGGTTTCATGAATGTTGTATTTCAGTGAATGCAGTGACACCCATAGCATAGCACAAAGTGAACCTGTAGATGGTCCCTATACAATACTCTGTCCACACAGGCTTCAGCTGGTATGTGCACAGCAAGCTTTGAATAGCTTTCTTGAAGCCTCTACAGCACACTGTTGCTCTGCTCAGCCTATGATGAGCACATATCTTCATGGGAGTGCTGACTGTCACTTTAAACAAGTTGCTAGCAAGCAGGCGTTTGGTCTTCACTTACTGCATGCATTTGTGGTCTGTGGTTGCATTAGTCTTGGTGTTGCTGCCAAGCAACTGGGGTTCTTTGGCCAGTAATGGCAGTGCCTGTATTTACACAGTGCAAGGAGACTCTATCCTGACCCTCCATAACTGACAAGCTTTCAGCTGCTATAAAGGTGCTAATGACTCCAAGTCGGTTGAACTATGCAAGGCCTACCGCTATCTGCAGCCTGGGTTCAACTTGTGGCTGCGCCAGCCTGTTATCTTCTGCTCAGGCTACTGCTGTCCTGCCAGCATTTGCTCTTTCATGGCTGCTCACTCACCCAGAGGCTTCACAACTGTTGATGTTGCGCTGACCTGCCAACTCTAACCCAGATCTGAGCAGCCAGCACAGGTTCTTGCTGTTAGCAGATCCTGTTAGAAGAATGCTCCAAGCTACAATGCTGAATCACTTGTAAAATGGCCACCATGATCCATTGGGTTCATGTATGTTGAACCCAATGCAATACAGTGGATGGTTCGCTTGGAGATGCTATACCACCTTAGTCAATAAAGAGATTGACTGGGCATTATACTGGAGTGCGAGTGACTTTTTGCTGGTTTTATGTGATAAAACAGAGGGCACATGAAAAGCAGTGAGGGTCTATCTAGGAATGAGCATCAGAAAAACGGAGGGTTTGGCTGGGACTCGACTGGCTTTACACAGCAGGGGAACTTGCCAATTGTGGCTCTACATTACCACTAGGTGTCAATAGATGCACAATATTGATACCATAACCACCCTATAGTAGGTGGGACATGATGGGCACCATAGCTCTTGGCGAGGTGAAGATCAACCATGGGGGTGGGACAAGCAAGTACAGGGACAAAACTACATATACCAAAATTATGATGGGGAGGGTGCAGTGACCTCCCTGCTGTGAATCTAAACAAACTACAGTATGTCTAAACCAATGAATGGTTTTAGTCGGTACATTACTAGGTGCCGGAGCTTTGGGGCAACCGTGCGCAAAAGTCTACAAACTTTTTTCCTTCTGATGCAATGCTGATTTGCTTTTCTCTGGGGCAGTTGGTGCAACTAGAATGCTCCTAGCAGAAATGTTGGATGAAAAGACCTTGTCTAAAATCAATTTATCTTGGAGCAACATTTCTTGCTCTGAATTCTGCTTTTGTGGTGGATTGCCCTCAAGTGGGGACCAGTGGCCAACATTTAAGTAAGACGCGGTTGTGCTAGGGAGTGGACACTTTCCGGAGTATCCATTCCCTTTATGTTCAGAGGCACATTGCAAGAGGCAATCCTTTATGGAAATAGACACACTGTGCAAGTATTTCAACTCTTTTCAGCTTTAACCTGCTTGTGGGGTTTTTTTTTTTTCCTTCTGTACCAAGGACTTTATAGGGGATGAGGCTATTTCCAAAAGTGACAAGACCTGTCCTTAGATAAGAGGTCTATTATTCATCTAAAAAAATGTAATTATTGGGCTGTTCTGCTCATTGACCTGAAGAGGTGATCAACATGTAAATCCTTATCAGCGTGTTTGCTAGGTGACTAGTCCTTCTGGAAATGTGGAGGTCAAAAATGTCTGGGTTCCAGGTTTCTCTGAAGTAGAGCTGCTGTCTAATGTTCTGCTTTTCTCAGCACAGATGACTCAAGACTGGGTGATCTACACTACCAACCTGACCTACAGCCCAACCTCCTTGATTCCAATCATCAGAACCAACCCTGCAGTGGTCCCCATAATTTGTTACTACTACAGGTGAGTCTACAATAGGGGTGCAATTCATGTCCTAACCAGTTTCCTCCTGGATGGAGGTTATCTGCCCTTTGTCCCATTCAAGGTATTTCCCTCCTTCTGTCCTGTAGATACAGCAGGGAGTGAGTCTTTTCAATGAGGCATATCCTCTTTGATGTCTCTGGGATCAGGTTCACGCAAAGGTTCAACTTGCTGGACATGTGTCTTTATTCAACCTCATACTATGGTGACCCACTATTGGCTGTATCCTTAGCTTTGTATCCTGTACCTATAATCCAAGTTCTTCTACTGCAGTGATAAAGAAAGTGTAATAGTTGGAGGATCAGCAGTGACCATTACTTATTACAGGTATTTATATAGCGCCGACAATTTACACAGCACTTTACATAGTTACACATTCACATCAGTCCCTACCCTCAAGGTTGGCCCTGTATGTATGTATGTGAAATAGGGACCTTAGATTGTAAAATCTAAGGTCCCTATTTCACATGCATACATACAGGGCCAACTTAGGGCGGAGCCAATTAACATACCAGCATGCCTTTGGAGTGTGGGAGGAAACGAGTACCCGAAGGAAACGCACGCAAGCACAGGGAGAACATGCAAACTCCTTGCAGATAGTGACCTGACCGGGATTCAAACTGGGGACCCCCCAGTGCTACAAGGCAGAAGCGCTAACCACTATGCCACCTTGCTGCCTATGATAAAGTTTTTATGCAACTTCATGGCTTTAGAGCACCTTATGGTAAAGATCACAGGCCTAATTTTTTGTCAATCTGGAATCTTTACCATGTCCTTTTGGTGCTGGGGTGATCATGCTGCCAGTACAACTGGTCCTCAAGTCCATTTTTGTACAAATATGCTGCTTTTGCATGCTTGACTTTTGAGGTATTTATAGGCATGCTTTAGGGATGTGTTCTCTATTCTGGCTTTGCTATCTTGAGTTCCTGTCCAGTAACTGGAATGGAGCTTTCATCCTTCATACTAGCTAGACATGTGCACGCTACAAAATTTAATTTCTGATGGATGAATTTGTTTTGTTGGCGAAATTAGTTTTTTTACTTTCAAACTAAATCCATTTGTTTGCTATCAAAATGCACTGACAGTTGATTACAGCTCTCAGACCCAAGATAGTATGGAGTACTTGCAGTGAATTAGGGCTAGTGCTAGTTTAAAAAAAGGATCTTGGTCATGGCGGTAATCTTAACTGGTGTATTTGTTACTGTGTCTGAGTGCTGTAGTAATTGAAGAAATTAAAGGATAATTATGAGACGAGTGAAAAATCACTCAGCCTCATAATCTCAGCCAACCTGTGACAATGAAACTGTCACAGGTCGGCTCAGTAGATCGGGAAGTGAGCAAACACATACCGGCGCTCGCTCACTTCTCAATCTTGTCCCTGCAGAGAGCCGTGACTGTCACTTACGGCTCCCTGCAGGGATTCCCCCCTCCCCTGTCCGATCCTCCAGCGCTGGTACAGCTGGCTCTGCCTCTAGATAGGCAGAGCTAGCTGTCACTCACGCAGCTGGGCGGATCCAGACACAATTGTTGGGATCCGCTCCGGCGTCTCAGTATACTGAGCTTTGGGTGACGGGAGGACTCTAGTTTGTGTCCTCCCGTTACCATTAGGAGACCTATGGGTAAAAGCCTTAACCCCATAGTTCTCTATGTAACTCGAAGCCCAAGTGGAAGTGTTAACAGCTGATCACAGTATGAATTCCATGCTGTGGGAGAATTAATAAACCACCACAGAAGAAAACAAGACAGTCAGGGCTGCAGGAAGACTTGCAAGCAGGGGTTAAAGGTGAACTATGAGGAGTGCTTTCCACTCACCTCATAGTTCTAGCCGACCTGTGACAATGAGACTGTCAAAGGTTGGCTCAGTAGATCGGGAGGTGAGCGAACACATACCAGGTTCGCTCACCTCTCGATCCTGTCGCGGCTCTCTGCCGTGACCGGGGGAGGGCTGGATTCCCCTCTCCGATCTGCCAGCGCTGACTGGCGGAACGGAAGGGGCGGGTACAGCTGGCTCTGCCTCTAGATAGGCAGAGCCAGCTGTCACTCACACAGCTGGGCGGATCCCGTCATCTACGTCGGGATCCGATGCGGCGTCTCAGTATACCGCGAGCTGTAGCTCGCGGTATACTGAGCTTAGGGTAACGGGAGGACGCTAGTTTGTCCTCCCGTTACCCTAAGGAGAACTATGGGGAAAAACACTGACCCCATAGTTCTCTAAGTAAAAGTTCTCCTTCAGGTCCACCACTGTGCAGTGGTTGGGAGCAATAGTTGGCCTGCTATTGGCTTTCAAACTTCAATAGCAGGCTGCTATTGCACCTACTCACTGCCTGCTGCCAATCTGCAGAGCAGCAGGCCTGAAGGAGAACTTTCCCTTTTTGACCTGATTGACAGCAGGCAGTGGACAGGTGCAATAGCCAGCCTGCTATTGGCTATTGCAATAGCAGGATGGCTATTGCACCTTGTTGTAAAATGTATCTAAATTAACCCCTACCAATACTAGAGTAGCTGTGATCACTTTAAATATTAACATAACATGTATCCCCCCCAAATCAATATTGTTCCATGTTAACTAATCAATATGATTGCCAAGTGTGTGCCGCCTAATTTGGTGATTTCCACCACCATTCCCATTTGCAATCAATGTCATGCGAATCAATACTAAGGGGAAAAACCTCATATGTATGCAATTCAGTGCAAATATATCCACAGTAAACGCTAAGGTACAACAATTCATGACTTCATTATTGTATCAATTCAGATATTACTGATTCCTATTAATCTAATCGACTTTCTGTAAATTCATCAATCTATAAATATGATACAGGAGTTTACACAATTCATCAACCTATAAATGGTCAATTCCTCATGTGCCAGGGATTGCAAAGTGACTAGTGCAGAACCATAGGCAAGAGACTGTAATTCCTGACTTGTTTTCTCTGTATAGGCATGCTAATGTGAGTCGTGAGCCCATTAAGCCAACATGGCTTCCATTCAGCACCACAGTGTCTTTAGAGGAGAGGCTGTCTTTCTCCTTGCGGCTGATGGCGGGTGAGTTAAGTGAGGAAGAGGTTCAGGAGAGGGAGTTGTTTGGACTTTAATAATCCCCTTTCTCTGTCTACAGAGGACTGGAGTGGCCCCAGAAGTTCTCCCATCTTTGAGTTGGGACAAATCCTCTACATAGAGGCCTCTGTGGATACTCGGAACCATATGAATCTGATACTGTATGTTGACAGATGTGTGGCAACTATATCTCCGGATATGACCTCTGCTCCTAGTTATGACATCATTACAGACAATGGGTATGTTCCAGTGGTTGTTTGGGGATGGGGTCCTATAATGACCCCACTTTCATCTAACAGGCAATGTTCTGCAGGTGTCTGGTGGATGGAGTGCAAGATGACTCCTCTTCAACCTTCATCGCTCCAAGGATCAGCTCGGACAAGCTCCAGTTCACAGTGGATGCTTTCCGATTCCTAGGAGCAGATGTGTCTCTGGTGAGGACTACTTGAATTTGGTTGAAAACAGTTGGGTGCTTTGTAAGAACGGATAACTGATTTAACTTTCCAATTCCAGATTTACATAACCTGTTTCCTGAGAGCTGCTGCAGCCACACAGGTCCCTGATTCCAGAAACAAGGCCTGTTCCTACAACAAAGTCACAAAAAGGTAAGACTATTAAAATGGTTGTCGGTGTGTCCACAGATTACTGCAATGTAAATGGTAGAAAGTCACTTGCACTCCAAAATCCCACCCCCCCCCCCCCCCCATGTTTGTTGGAGTTTTCCAGTCAGGAGTGCAATCGGGATCAATTCTGTTCCATAGATTACTGCACTCTCGCCACAGCCCCTGCTTCTGTGAATCTCATGTTTAATGTAGATCAACTTCTGCATAAGAACTTGACATGGCAACCAGTGATTTGGAAGAATGACTTTGTGGACCAATAACTTCAGACTCCGAACACTGGTGGCTTCCTAAAACAAATGGTGTAATCGGCTAGAAATATTGATCAATTGTACAGCCTATCTTGGGGTCTCTTAATGTATATTGGTTTGGGTGGAAAATATTAGATTTGTGGCCATGATATCCACACCTGAGATCCCCAGGTACCAGTATGGTCAGCATTATGGGTATGGTGCCCTGCAATTTCTTTTTGGAACTAATGGGGGACACCTTGTCCGCTGTGAATTGCCCCCTTTAAAGGATAAGCTGTGATGACACCAGGTATGCTGTTCAGCACCTAATCTTGCTTCCAAAACTATATTGTGGGTAATGGCTGGTACCAAGTAATTCAACACTCGGAAAATAGGGCCTGGAAACGTTTTACAAATTCAGTTTTAGGGTTCCTGGGCACATCAGTTCTCTGGCAACTTCTAGCGATCTCAAACCCTTAATGATGGCACATCATTAAGATGAACCCCTCCAACAGATGCATCACCAGAAAATTCTTTAGAGAAGGTCTTCTGCTGAAATGGTTAAGAAGTTGTTTTTTTTTCTGAAGTCCAGAGTCATTGCTTAATCCCAAGAAACCTCAATGATACCTTGTTCTTTAGAAACTTTTAGCTTTTCAAAGGGTAGCTTGAATCCTAAACACCATAGTGATTTTAACAGTCGACTGTTCCTGCCTCAGTGGCAGCTGCTACAATTGCATCCAAAAGCTACCATGAACTGTGTGGACATATGTACAAAAGTATTGACCTAAGTGGTCTTCAACTGGTCAGATTCTAATTGCCTACATTCCTTCCAACTTTTTGGGATGTCCTCTAGCATATGTAGGAAGGGTAAAGTAAACCACTATGGGCAGGCTGTTTCTTTTCTCCACTACCTTTGTCTTGTGTACACTTGAACACAACTGCAGAAGCTAGTTTTAGACAAATTGAAGTCAAATGGTGTATGTGTAACTACACAGAAGACCATAAAGGACAGACGTTCCTTCTATAACTGAAAGCAATGCTTCAATTGCAATATTCATTTATACCAGATTTTCTTTCATCAAAATTAATCTCTGAAAAGGACATCTAGTGGCTCTCTACTGAACCTAGAACTTTTATAAAACCTATACTTCTAGTTGCATTTGGTGGGAAAACTCCTGTATCCCAGTCTAAGCTAGCCCAGTGGCAGAGCCTTTTAGTACGTCTAGACAAAATGTTGGCTAGTGGAGAAGGGTAGAGCTCCATTAGAGATTTCTCTCCTCCTTTCAGTGACTGCCCTTTCACTAGACATGAACTGAGGGGAAAGTCTGGAGCAACGATGGATAGCAAATATGACGGAGGGGGGTTTGTTTTCCATATCTGACTAATGGTCTTTATTGCTGTCACTTTTTTGATGTCTTGCTTTGCTACAATTGCCACTTGGACAGTAAACCAGGTTAAGACTGTGGAGATCTGAGAAACCAAACAATGAGTTTTGAGCATTCTTGGTCCTTATTAAAACTATCAGGACATGCATAAAGCCGAGCTTCAAAATTATGCATTTAATTCCCTTACCCCTGGATAGCCTATTTTGCTGCAATACTATCCAAAAGCGACTGCCCCTCTTCCAGTCAGAATGACACCCAGCCTCATGCAAACTTCTGTGGACAAGGGACATGTCTTGACCCTTGGCCTCACCCGGGCTACAGTATAGCCATTAGCCAGTCTAGCATACACAGGTCACAGCAATAGACTGTGCACTAGCATTCTATTCCACTCCCAGAATGCCACTGGGAGAAAGACATGAGGACCATTTTAAGGAAAGTAGAGAATTATGTACTTCAAGATACTGAATTTGGCTATAAAGCATCCTTCAGCACCACATTGGTCTAATACATCTCATAATGGAAGCACCATTGAGTCTACATCCCTTCCATCAGGGCCTTGGGCATCATTCCCACCAGATGAAATAGTGCACTTAAGTTTACCACAACAAGGTTTTTTTTCACTTTCACAAGTTAACTACTAACTACTTTTCACCAGTTTCAAGTGTACCCTTTTTAAAATGTATACAAAGGAACAGATTGTTTCCGCAGTGGGCTGTGCAAGGACCCAGTGGGGAGAGAAAAGGGGGCTTTTTAGAAACCAGTCCAGACCTCGTATATAAAAGTCTTAAACATTTATTCACTAAATTGTTGTATACATAGTTTAGAACCAAGAAATAAAGTACAAAATCATGTCATCAATAAAAATATATATCATTAATAAAAATACATATTGAATATGCAGGTTCACCGTTAGGAATCATTCCAGGGATACAAACAGTAACTTCACACGCGGCAAGAGATCTGGTCTATATATGTCCCCTTAATAGAACTTCATGACCCCCTAAGTGTACCTCACCGGCTGCCCGTGATCCCTGAGGAGTATAGCGTGCTGTTCTCCGACGCGATCCCTCCATCTATTGTTGTTCGTGGCGGTTTACCTTCGACAGAATCAACCTCCTATATGATTTTGTTGCAGCTGCTTCATGTCATCTAGTTTTTGTTGCTTTGATTATACATCTGGCGAGGACATACATGAATACAGTTCTCCCGGAGATCTGCCTTCTTTCCCCTGAAGAAGCCCCTTCTGGGGGCGAAACATGTAGGGACCTATAGGAGCGTTTATATCATCTGAAAATAAGTTACCGTATATCTCGTAACCGCACGGTACTGTCACCTAACGGTGAACCTGCATATTCAATATGTTTTTTTATTGATATATATTTTTATTGATGACATGATTTTGTACTTTATTTCTTGGTTCTAAACTATGTATACAACAATTTAGTGAATAAATGTTTTTCTAAGACTTTTATATACGAGGTCTGGACTGGTTTCTAAAAAGCCCCCTTTTCTCTCCCCACTGGGTCCTTGCACAGCCCACTGCGGAAACAATCTGTTCCTTTGTATCCATAACCTGGGGTGTGAAACCTCCAGCTCCTCTAGATGCTATTTGCAACACACGCCTGCCAATATTATCCCTTTTTAAAATGTAGACTGTGATACTGACAATTGCTATTATCTCTAGCTGGTTTGCAGTTGAGGGCCCCAGCCCTGTCTGCCAGTGTTGTGAGAGGCTCACCTGCCTTCCTACAGCTGTTATACCACCGATGTCTGCAGGAGGAAGGAGCCGGTTTGGAAGACCAAGATCATTTGGGAAAAGGGAAGCCTTGGATGGTGAGTTTAACCTGCAGATGCTATATACGGTAATGGTCCAACTGTAGGTGAGCTTTAGATGGGACTCCATGGATGGGGAGTGAGGCTGCTTCTTGCACTAGCTTTGGGGCCTGTTCAGTGTTTTTGGTTGTCGTGGTTTCTGCATTCCCATGAGTCTATAGCAAAACCTGCATGAAGGAGGCCTATTGGATGTCTATTTCTGAATCGTCTCAAACTGATGCCATGGAAAAGGCCAAGTCCTGTCAGCAAAGGCCCAAAGCTATGAACTAACATTTTTTTTTAAAGGGGAAAGTATCTTTATGGAGCACATCGGGAAGGGCAGGGGGGTTGTGTTTTATTTTTAAAAAGTGAGTTGTCCCAACAGGAATTGACTTTATTAGGGATGCCCTACTATGATTTCCTTCTGATTACAGGAAATGAAGGGGAATGCCTAACTTGGGTACAGATGTGGGGTGGGCCCTAAAGGGAACCGGCTATGGCCTATGACTAAAGGTTGCACTTAGAACCTCTCCCACCCCACCGCAGAACAAGTTGTGAACTGAAGTACGGCTGGCAATGTAGGGAGAAGGCTAGAACCCTGATGGTTCATATTGCTGCTTGTGTCCCCTATGGGGTTTTTCACTATCTTGTCACGAGACTAGAACCAAAAGGATCTTCAAAAAGATTTGGATAAAAAAATTAATCTGAGGTTCTAACCCCCACCCCATTTGTTCAAAAGTATTGGTTGAAGTGACAGTTTAAAGGACCCCATGTTCTATAACTTTCTGCACACTTAATAGGCGAATCATTGATTGTAAGCTTAATTGCACAGAAGTGTATATATAATCTGTATATGCTTCTTGACTACACCCATGTTTTTCTCTCCTACAGAACCCAACTTGGAGGGACAAACTGTGACCACGCTTGGACCTCTGCTTGTAACTGGGCCAAAACAAAGACTTGTGACACTTTCAGTGAAAAAGGAGGAATCTGCTCCTGTGGAGCTCTGGGTATTGGTGGCTATTGGATGTCTCAGTCTCCTTGCTGTCCTTGTATGTGTAGTGTTCATCAGGCGGTCTCTGAAAAAGCCACAGCATGTGTTTGTGGTCAAATAAAAAAACAATTCTCTTCAGTCTGGTCTATTGCTCTTTTATAGATGGCATAATGTACCTCTATTTCCTATAGATTGGGGGTTTAGTAAGGAATCTGAACATGTGCCTATCGAGTCTTGTGCTGGTGAGGTTTCTCCAATATGTTTGATGGAAAATGTTGGTAGTCTACTTAATGTGGACAGAACTTGAGGCTTTGTATTCTATAGGGCCTCAAGACTACTGAGAAATATATCCAATGATGGCAAACTAGTACGCCCTCCATTTGTTCTGGATTTATTATACAGGATTTGTATAGCTCCAATAGTTTGCACAGCACATAATCATCGCAATACAATTCTCAAGACAAGATGGGTAATGGGTGCCCTGCCCATGAGGGCTTTACAATCTAAAAGTGAGGGGCAAGTGGTGCATGAGGAGGTTTTAAGGCGGTAGATCCACCCCCATCCTGTGTAGTTGTCCTCATCAGGAGGACTTTGCCCTCAACAACTAATGGAGCAAAAAATGATTAGAATCTCCAACAGGGGTAGACCAGTGTTGCTTTTATTTTTGGGGTATGGTCTGAGGCTACAATTTAGTTCAGTTCTGTGCTGAGTGACATTTATGTAACAATTTTCATGTATGAAAACTTTTTTTAAAGTGACTACTCCAGATTTAAATATTAAAAATGCACTCAAGCACCTTAACAATTCTGTATCACTCAGCTGTAGATCCCCAAATCATTTTTTGAATTGTAGTGATGGGCCGAACACCCCCTGTTTGAATTCTTACATGAGGAATGTTTGTATTCAAACTCTTAACGCAATGCAAGTCTATGGTGGTAGAACATTGAAAATCAAATGTCACCATTTTGAAGCCTTGTATGTAATTTATTGGCCATAAATGTATGGGGATCTGGGTACTGCCAGACTAATCAATGAAAAAGAAAAAAAAAAACTTAAATACTGTTTTAAAGGAGCACTGACTTTAACATCGCTTAAAGTGAAACAATAAAGGAGAAATTCCTTTTAAATATTGTCAACCTGCCTGCTGTAAAGTGGCGGATCTGTACAATGTATAGAACCTGCCGCAGCAACTTTTTTGTGTTCTGTGGTCAGGTGCAATCCCTTTGCCAATTAGGGCTTCACAAGGTGCATTGCCTTGGGTGTTCAGCGGTCGAACACCCTTAGTTTGTGTTCAGTGAACTAGAGACATCAATGTTTGAGCCCAACACTACTAAATTGGTGCTGACGCTGTCCTTCTTTCTGGAGGGGGACTACTTTTGTTCCCCATGGTGTGTGTGTGTCTCCAAGATCATTCCTGGGATGGGACTACAATCTCATGTTTAGTAATTTGTACTGAGATTATAGACCATCCCGGGAATGATCTTGGAGTGCTGACGCTACAACACACACAGGGACCATGGGGAACAAAAGTAGCCCCCCTCCAGAAGGAAGGACAGTGTCAGCCCCAATTCAGAGATTTGAACCCATGGGTAGGGTCCCTGCACTGCCACAATCTTAAATATCTCTTTTAGAGGTTAAATGGAAGTTGTGTTTGAACGTTTATACAATCTGCTTATGGTTGTTGCCTGTTCTTGTTCCTCACCTCCCTTTAAAGGAACGATGTGGAGGGGGTAGCCTTATTTTTTTTGCCCATAGGTCTCTTCAGGGTCACAGGAGGACATATACTAATGTCTTCCAGTGACCCAAAACTCAGGGTATATAGCAGGCCGTTGCTTGCTAGATGTTGAGAGCATAGAGCCGTAACAGTACTGTCTATCACCCCCCACTGGCTAAAACTGTGGCCTCCTCCCCATCCATTCCTCCAGTCAGTGCTGGAGGATCAGAGGGGGTAATCCCTGTGGGGAGCAGTGACTGGCAGTCACTGATCTCTGCTGGAGGATGGTCAGGAACTCTGTGGTCTATATTAGCTGACTTCCCGCTTAATAGAGCCAACCTGGGACAGCTTCAGTGTCACACGTGGGCTTGAATTATGGGAAGGAGGATTTTTTACTCGCCCCATAATTCTCCTTTAACCAACTAACCCCCCCACACCAACAGCCTAATGAAATAATAAAAGCCTTTCAGTCACTACTTGCCTTATTTTACTCCTGCTCTTACTCCTGCTCTGTCATCTCTCTGTAATGCAGATCATAGCTTGTAGGAGGGACCAACAGGATCCTGGATGTAGCTTTTGGAAAATATCACACCACCCTGCATCGGTATTCCCATCAAGAACCCTCAACCCTGATGCAAGCAATTGGCTGCTTCCTGGGGAGGAGTCATGCAAATTTCAAAATGCCTTGATCCTTAAGGTTCCTGGGTGTCCTCCAGCCAGGAGCTGAGGTGTGCTCTATCTGACTTGCTACAGCTTCTAATGTACATCGTGAGAAGCTCAGTGTGCAGTGACATCAGAGTAAGCCATTTCAGTCCAGGAGAAGATATTCTGACTGATTGTTGTAGTGATTTATCCCTTCCTGAGACCTCTATGCCTGGCCTGTGTAAGCAGATATAATCACTGTGGACAATCCTTATCAGCTGAATTCACCAAATACACTTTCATACACGGAATGCTTTATTGTATGCAGCAGACAACAGGATACAGCAGATTAATGAACAGACAGTATTTGAAGGTCAAGGATGTTTCCAAACTAGTATATACATGTGATCCTGCTATAGGCAGCCATGACACTAAGTGACTATTTGGAGAAGGGCGGTACATTACATACAAGGGGAGGGAGTTCAGAAAACATGGCGCAATAATCAAAATGCTCACAAGATGGCAGTAATAACCAGCGATACAACTGCTGTAATACATGGCTTAAGGAACATTAAAGGAGAACTAGGAGGAGTGCTTTTCACTCACCTCATAGGTCTAGCCGACCTGTGACAATGAGACTGTCACAGGTCGGCTCAGTAGATCTGGAGGTGAGCGAACACATACCGGCGTTCGCTCACCTCTCGATCCTGTCACAGCTCTTTGCCGTGACAGGGGAGTGGCCGGATTCCCCTTACTCGATCAGCCAGTGCTGACTGGTGGAATGGACAGGGGAGGGGGCGGGTACAACTGGCTCTGCCTCTTGATAGGCAGAGCCAGCTGTCACTCACGCAGCTGGGCGGATCCAGATATAATTGTCAGGATCCGCTTCAGCTGCGGCGTCTCAGTATACAGCGAGCAGTAGCGGTGTAGTCTTACATAAGACTACAAAAAATATTTAAAATGAGCCATTTCTATAAAAGTATACATAAAGACAAAGCTTTGGTAGGAAATGGGTAAAGATTTATGTCGCGGTTCTAGTTTGCGGTGTCCAATTTTGGGGAGAAATACCTTTTTGCTTCTCCCATGGAAGCAACAGGATTTAAGAGCAAATCCACCCCAAAAAAGGGGATATCTACTCTGAGACAGGTGTTCTGGGCAAAGTAAATTACTCTTGCACTGGGGGCAAGGGTTACCTGCCTGCTCATGCCCAGGGTACATTCCTTAACGTTAATCCTGGTGAGACATAGGCATGGATGGATACATGGACAGCAATACAAAGCTTACCACGATTACGACCGTTCCCCACGTCACCCAAACTAAAAAATAACAAAAGACATTTAGATGTTCTATTTGGTTTAATTGTGTTTTGTCTTTTTCTATTCTTTGACCTTCTTATCAAACAAACGTAATATGTACAAAACCACAATATATTCTGTTTTAAAACCAGCTTTGCCTAATTGGTCTACGGACAATTTGCCACCATTACTTGGTGCGATGGGATCCCCCGGGGCTTTTACTCCCTTGGTTCTGCATCTGGAATATAAACTGTCTGAAATGAAATTAGACTTCACTATGAGCCTGCAAGTGATTACTCCTGCCAGGTATCAGATCTACGGACTCAATGTAACATTATTTATCCTGAAAAATTATCACTACTGCTTTATTAGCCTTTTCTAATTGCCGACTGAACGTCCAAATCCGCTAAATACATTCAAGGTGCATCCAAACAAAAGGTGAGCAAAGTCCTGCAGTTCTTTTTCTTTAGAAAGCAGCCACAGACCAAGTAATAGTCTGTCCCCTGCCAGTGTTCTACAGAGAATATTGTCTTAGATTGTTGTATAAAAAAATAAAGCCCTCTAGTGTGATCACACGATTAATTGAGCCGACACACACATCTCCAGATAAGCAATTCCTACTTTCTTGACTTAGCTCACACTTTTCTGACCACGCATGCACCTGGACCAGTGGCGGACCTAGGGAACATAGGGCTCTGGTGCAAGATTATTTCGCACCCCCCCCCCCCAACCCATATCCCCTGCAGCAACTAAAAATACAATCTGCTTATGGTTGTTGCCTGTTCTTGTTCCTCACCTCCCTTTAAAGGAACGATGTGGAGGGGGTAGCCTTATTTTTTTTGCCCATAGGTCTCTTCAGGGTCACAGGAGGACATATACTAATGTCTTCCAGTGACCCAAAACTCAGGGTATATAGCAGGCCGTTGCTTGCTAGATGTTGAGAGCATAGAGCCGTAACAGTACTGTCTATCACCCCCCACTGGCTAAAACTGTGGCCTCCTCCCCATCCATTCCTCCAGTCAGTGCTGGAGGATCAGAGGGGGTAATCCCTGTGGGGAGCAGTGACTGGCAGTCACTGATCTCTGCTGGAGGATGGTCAGGAACTCTGTGGTCTATATTAGCTGACTTCCCGCTTAATAGAGCCAACCTGGGACAGCTTCAGTGTCACACGTGGGCTTGAATTATGGGAAGGAGGATTTTTTACTCGCCCCATAATTCTCCTTTAACCAACTAACCCCCCCACACCAACAGCCTAATGAAATAATAAAAGCCTTTCAGTCACTACTTGCCTTATTTTACTCCTGCTCTTACTCCTGCTCTGTCATCTCTCTGTAATGCAGATCATAGCTTGTAGGAGGGACCAACAGGATCCTGGATGTAGCTTTTGGAAAATATCACACCACCCTGCATCGGTATTCCCATCAAGAACCCTCAACCCTGATGCAAGCAATTGGCTGCTTCCTGGGGAGGAGTCATGCAAATTTCAAAATGCCTTGATCCTTAAGGTTCCTGGGTGTCCTCCAGCCAGGAGCTGAGGTGTGCTCTATCTGACTTGCTACAGCTTCTAATGTACATCGTGAGAAGCTCAGTGTGCAGTGACATCAGAGTAAGCCATTTCAGTCCAGGAGAAGATATTCTGACTGATTGTTGTAGTGATTTATCCCTTCCTGAGACCTCTATGCCTGGCCTGTGTAAGCAGATATAATCACTGTGGACAATCCTTATCAGCTGAATTCACCAAATACACTTTCATACACGGAATGCTTTATTGTATGCAGCAGACAACAGGATACAGCAGATTAATGAACAGACAGTATTTGAAGGTCAAGGATGTTTCCAAACTAGTATATACATGTGATCCTGCTATAGGCAGCCATGACACTAAGTGACTATTTGGAGAAGGGCGGTACATTACATACAAGGGGAGGGAGTTCAGAAAACATGGCGCAATAATCAAAATGCTCACAAGATGGCAGTAATAACCAGCGATACAACTGCTGTAATACATGGCTTAAGGAACATTAAAGGAGAACTAGGAGGAGTGCTTTTCACTCACCTCATAGGTCTAGCCGACCTGTGACAATGAGACTGTCACAGGTCGGCTCAGTAGATCTGGAGGTGAGCGAACACATACCGGCGTTCGCTCACCTCTCGATCCTGTCACAGCTCTTTGCCGTGACAGGGGAGTGGCCGGATTCCCCTTACTCGATCAGCCAGCGCTGACTGGTGGAATGGACAGGGGAGGGGGCGGGTACAGCTGGCTCTGCCTCTTGATAGGCAGAGCCAGCTGTCACTCACGCAGCTGGGCGGATCCAGATATAATTGTCAGGATCCGCTTCAGCTGCGGCGTCTCAGTATACAGCGAGCAGTAGCGGTGTAGTCTTACATAAGACTACAAAAAATATTTAAAATGAGCCATTTCTATAAAAGTATACATAAAGACAAAGCTTTGGTAGGAAATGGGTAAAGATTTATGTCGCGGTTCTAGTTTGCGGTGTCCAATTTTGGGGAGAAATACCTTTTTGCTTCTCCCATGGAAGCAACAGGATTTAAGAGCAAATCCACCCCAAAAAAGGGGATATCTACTCTGAGACAGGTGTTCTGGGCAAAGTAAATTACTCTTGCACTGGGGGCAAGGGTTACCTGCCTGCTCATGCCCAGGGTACATTCCTTAACGTTAATCCTGGTGAGACATAGGCATGGATGGATACATGGACAGCAATACAAAGCTTACCACGATTACGACCGTTCCCCACGTCACCCAAACTAAAAAATAACAAAAGACATTTAGATGTTCTATTTGGTTTAATTGTGTTTTGTCTTTTTCTATTCTTTGACCTTCTTATCAAACAAACGTAATATGTACAAAACCACAATATATTCTGTTTTAAAACCAGCTTTGCCTAATTGGTCTACGGACAATTTGCCACCATTACTTGGTGCGATGGGATCCCCCGGGGCTTTTACTCCCTTGGTTCTGCATCTGGAATATAAACTGTCTGAAATGAAATTAGACTTCACTATGAGCCTGCAAGTGATTACTCCTGCCAGGTATCAGATCTACGGACTCAATGTAACATTATTTATCCTGAAAAATTATCACTACTGCTTTATTAGCCTTTTCTAATTGCCGACTGAACGTCCAAATCCGCTAAATACATTCAAGGTGCATCCAAACAAAAGGTGAGCAAAGTCCTGCAGTTCTTTTTCTTTAGAAAGCAGCCACAGACCAAGTAATAGTCTGTCCCCTGCCAGTGTTCTACAGAGAATATTGTCTTAGATTGTTGTATAAAAAAATAAAGCCCTCTAGTGTGATCACACGATTAATTGAGCCGACACACACATCTCCAGATAAGCAATTCCTACTTTCTTGACTTAGCTCACACTTTTCTGACCACGCATGCACCTGGACCAGTGGCGGACCTAGGGAACATAGGGCTCTGGTGCATCTCTGGTGCAAGATTTTTTCCCCCCCCCCCCCCCCAACCCATATCCCCTGTAGCAACTACAAAAAAAAAAACAATTTGGAAAAATGGCATTGTTGTATAAAGCACAGCTGAAATCTATAGAACAGGTGCCATTATGCAATGCAGAATGGGACCTGCTCTATAGAACTACAAATACCAGCGGTACTTTATACAGCAATGCCATCAATTGGGCTACAAAAAATGATAATTTTATTTAATAACTTACCTTCACCTCCTCTGACTGTTTTCTGGCGGGGGTGGCTGCAGAAAACCACCCCAGTGTGTGTGTGTGTGTGTCCATCTCAGACAGCGCGCCCGTGCACTCAGACGGCTGCTTGCTGGGTCCTCACGGTCGAGGCCCAGGGCTGCCCCCTGAAGTGCCTGCAGGCTTTTTTTTAATGCTCGGCTTCCCTCCACAGTATCAGGCGGCCGACGGGCCCCCTCGTCTCTGCTAGGGCTGTGTTTGAATGGATACTGGCCCCCCACCCTGTAGGCTCAGGCACCGGTGCGGTAGTTCCGCCATTGACCTGGGCCTTGTCTACAAAATGCCATTCAGTAGAGATCAGTTAGTGCTAGCGGAGCCTGGTACTAGTTTCTAGTTTATTGCAGAGGTTACAAAAGGTTTTGTTTCAGTAGGAAAAGATACAAAATGGCCTCAAAGGAAGAGTTTCACGTATATGTTCTTTCACATTTACAATATTGTGAGCAAGTGCCCTTTTCTGCAGCATGCTGGCTTTTCTAATTTGAATGTGGCCGCTTTCTAAGGAAAACAAACAGCCAGGGGCGCATTTATAAACAATTCACAGAGCCATTTGTCCTGCAAAACTGCATGCACATTTGTTTTGGATGAAGGCAGAAACGCACGTTATTAGCATTATTTATTTCCTGGTTGAATATAATATCAGGTAAATACTGCATTATGGCCACTAGATGGAGCCGAGCAGCATAGGAAATTAGTGTCTATTAGTCTTTCTATCTATGAAGTTTCTTTTGTTACTATTTTCTGAGCACACAGTTGTATTATCTTTCTTTCAGCAGATTGTCGGATACTTTTGGTATGGTGTCCAAACAATGGCCAAGAGGAACCAAACGTTGCTTACTGAATTTCTACTCCTGGGATTCGGAGATCTTCAAGACTTTAAAATTGTCGTTTTCACCATCTTTCTGATCATTCACGTCATGGCATTAGCCAGCAATGTCCTTGTTACCTTGGTTGTGTTCATCCGGAGTCTTCACTCTCCCATGTACATCCTCATTGGTCAGTTGTCCTTGTCTGAAATCATCTTTACCAGTAACATTGTGCCCAACATGCTGTGGTTGATACTGGTTGGTGGTGGGAAAGTTTCCATTGCCCGGTGTATTTTCCAGTTCTTTTTATTAGCCTTTCCAACTGTGGCCCAGTCTTTACTGTTGGCTTCCATGTCCTTTGACCGATATGTGGCCATATGTAAACCATTACATTATGCCAGCATCATGACCTTTGGACAGCAAGTCCAAATAGTTACCTGTTGCTGGCTGTTGGGCTTCACAGTGGCCTTTATACTATATGTCTTATTAGACAGTTTACAATTCTGTGGACCAGACAGTGTCAATCATTTCTACTGTGACATCTCCCCCGTGGTGGAACTTTCATGTTCAGAAAACCCTTCTGTTGAGCTGGTCACTTCTGTCTTGTGTTTCCCTTTTATTGTTTGTCCACTTATGTTAATCATGGCCACCTAAAGCTCCATCCTTCACACCATCCTAAAGATCTCGTCCACCACTGGAAGACAGAAGGCCTTCTCTACTTGTAGCTCCCACCTCATCGTTGTGGGTCTGTACTATGGAAGCTTAGGATCCATATATATTTTCCCACCAAACAAAAGTTCCTTCAACATAAACAAGAGTCTATCTTTGCTCTACACCCTGGGGACCCCTTTAGTCAACCCTCTAATCTACAGCTTAAGGAACCAAGAGATTAGGAGTGCTGTTAGCAAATTTATCAATTTTTAGAACAACCACCTACCAACTAATGGAAAAGAGTTTATATACAAATTATAATGTGTTTGTATACAGTCCATATTATGTCATTAGGTTGTACATACATTAGGTCTATATGACAAATCATTATCCTGAGAGTTGTATTACAAAAGAAAACGTAGGCATGTAAAGCAACTATTTATGTAGATATCAAATTGTGTAAATTTTCTTCCTTTGGATGGAAAAAAGTAGTAAGTACCTTTCAATAAAAGTTTGGCATACTGTAAAATGAATGTTTTCAGTCAGAAAACTGTGCCATGGTGTACACACACATCTAAAAATAAAAGTTTATCATAAAAATAAATAATTGTTCTCATATTTTGACAAAATGAATGTTCCATCACATCCAATTTAAGAAAATAATTTTTAGAGTCAACATATAGATTTGTTGAAAGAATCAAAGTAGGAAAGTCCAGGCCTATTGCAGAGAATTCCACTTTTAAGAAATTGAGAAGGGGGTTAGAGGGGGTAAGAAACATTGACTACAAGGAACTGAAGCTTTCAGAAGAGAGCCAAGCATGGGCATATTGTACCCATGGAGACCATACTTTTAGGAACTTTCTTATATTCTCGTTTATGAAAAAACAAACAATGTGGTGTCAGGTGTTTGTGTAGCTTAGCAAAGGGTTTCAAACTTTACATGGACACAGAAAACAACTATAGGTCTATGTACAGTACATCTGAATGGGTCTGTGTGTCTGTATACTCTATTGGATTTCGCTCACTGCTATCCAAAGCCACATTTTTTTGTTTTGTTTTTGAAATGTGTACAACACTTTTTTTTAAGTGTACTTTTTCATCTGAATAAAAGAGGACACTTAAAAAATAGTGTTGTACACATTTCAAAAACAAAACAAAAAATGTGGCTTTGGATAGCAGTGAGCGAAATCCAATTGAGTATACAACTTTTACCTACTGGTAGAGGGTGCAAGGCATTATGGGTCAAGATTTCTCACCCCCCTTTGGCTACCATGATTAGACTGTGCTGTGTTGTGTGAGGTATTTTGTTATAAGGGTGGAGGCACCCCCCCCATGTACCCCTAACCTCCTTCAACAACCACAATGGGCCCTTGCATGAGCCCACATTTGTGATCCTGTTGCTAGCTCATCAGGAACAGGAACACCTTACTGGCCAACAGTCATCTAAAAATGAAACTTTATCATAAAAATAAATAATTGTTCTCATATTTTGACAAAATTAATGTTCCATCACATCCAATTTAAGAAAAACATTTTTTAGAGTCAACATTCAGATCTGTTGAAAGAATCAAAGTAGGAAAGTCCAGGTCTATTACGGAGAATTCCACTTTAAGGGCTTGTTCACAAGATGTCTGGATTCTATCCAGACCAGAACAGAAGTGTATTCTTGCTCCACTTTTGATGAAGACCGGAAGTGACCTCAAAGCAGGAATCTGCACACTGACAGCCCCCCCCCCCAAAAAAAAAATTAAACGCGTCCGTAATGCGGTAAAAACACATCAAAAACGCACTGCACACCTTTCACCGCGTCTGCAGATCTGCTCCAGATCTGGACCAGAAAATGTTGTGAACAAGCCCTTAAAGAAATCGAAGAAGAGGTAATTCCAGAGGGTAAAGTGGGTAAGATACATTGTCTGTAAGTAGGTGAAGCTTTGAGAAGAGAGCAAAGCAGGGGCATATTGTACCCATGGAGACCATACTTTTAGGAACTTTCTTATATTCTCGTTTATGAAAAAAACAAACAATGTGGTGTCAGGTGTTTGTGTAGCTTAGCAAAGGGTTTCAACCTTTACATGGACACAGAAAACAACTATAGCTCTATGTACAGTACATCTGAATGGGTGTGTGTGTACAGATGAAAGAGTGCCCTTAAAAAAATTGTTGTACAATTTTCAAAAACAAAACAAAAAATGTGGCTTTGGTTAGCAGTGAGCGAAATCCAATAGAGTATACAACTTCTACCTACTGGTAGAGGGGGCAAGGCATTATGGGTCAAGATTTCTCACCCCCCTTTGGCTACCATGATTAGACTGTGCTGTATTGTGTGAGGTATTTTGTTATAAGGGTGGAGGTACCCCCCCCATGTACCCCTAACCCCCTTCAACAACCACATCGGGCCCTTGTGAGAGCTCACACTTGTGATCCTGTTGCTAGCTCAGGAACAGGAACAGGAACACCTTACCGGCCAACAGGGCAGAGAATCGCTTACCTGATTCCATGGGGTCGCTTTCTTGCTAACAAGTGATATTCTGCAGCATTCCAACAGGATGAGTAAATCACCTTGGTCATCCAGGACAGCGAGGGAGCAACACTGTAGAAGCAGGTAAGTATGTCCTCTGCACATTTTAGCAATCCTGTCACTAGTGAATTGTTGTCAGCAACAGGGGTGCAAGGGTGCCATAGGCCTAAAACACACACGCACATATAATACATACAGTACATTTGGGATTGATACAGTTGTGATTGATAACACAACTATCCAAACCTCCCCTCATGCCAAGGTCCTATGTGTCATCCTTGACTCGGACCTCACCTTTCTTCCTCACATCCAATCACTATCCAAATCCTGCCGCCTTCACCTTCGTCACATCTCAAAAATACGCCTATAGTATGTACATTTTGCCGTGTTAATATTATCAGGTTTGTATGTTTGTAGCATGGTCATTTATACTTATAACTAGCTTACTCATATATCCTTTTCATGAAAATAATTTATTTATAATTGTTGTCACATGATGCAACCAAAATGCAAGCCCACAACCTGATGGTGTCCTGACTTGACTAATGTAACACTCTTGTCTGTGACTTACCAGAAATTAGACTGATTCCAATGCAAGCCATCTTGAGCTCCACCATTTAATGCATCCACCTATTTTATCCTTTCTCCAAGCATGCTTTTCTCTGCCATTTTCTCCACCATCTGCCACTTATAAAAAGGATTTACTTCAAGTGTCTAAGATGAGCCTGAAAGTTCTCCACAATCTGGTCCCATTCCAAACACAGCCTCCTCTCTCCAACTGACCTTCTGCTCTCCTCCACCCCCGGCACTTCTTATACTCCTGCATTCTAGGACTGTATGTGGCTCTTTTTTTGTTTCCTGGAGATTCTTTCCACACAACGATTTGCATTTTCCAACCATTGCAACTGATAAACACTCCCTTAAAATTCACTTCCTCAGAAAAGTATGAAATCAAAGCTGAAACATAAACCCAACATTTTGAAAGTGCTGCAATCGAAAAATTTGACAGTACCATAAGGAGCAATGATCTGCCAAACAATAAAAAAAATCACAATACTTTTAAGATACCTAATAAAACCATTATGAAAGGTCACCTTTATCCACATACTTTAAAATATAACCTTCAGTATAGTATATCAGAGAACATCAATCATATACATCAAACATTTTACAATGAATGTTGTATCACCTAAATGAGAACTATGGGCAACCTTTTATTTTTTCCATAGTTCTCCTCAGGGTCTTGGGAGGAGATATACTATGTCCTCTGGTGACCCAAAACTCAGCATATAGTGGGATATTGCCCACTGTCGAGATCCACTCCCCTGGCAGATTGACAGCTCTACTATTGACGTTAGCTGTTGTTAAGGGAGAAAATGCGGTCCTCTGAAGTATTACCAGGGTATCCTACTAACCCCAAACCCTCTCTCCTGTTGAGCCTACAAATAAATACTGAAAAGAACCTATGACTCGAACCTGTTCTGTTCCGGAGTGTCGGTGGTGCTAGATCTGAGAAAGGGGGCCGGTGGCTGGCGAACAGGTAGGAGAGCCCAAGTTCATATTCAGCGGCTCCTTCGGGGGGTGAGCGATACACATGTATGAAATTAAATTCGGTTTCTATCCATCAGGGAAGCTTGTTGTTCATGATAGTGTAGCCATCAATGCAATCTCTTGAACAATGTACTTGTAAAGGAATTCTCTTTATACATATACAGTATATGACCATCCAATGATGTGAAGGGCAACAACAAATCCCAATGATACTGTAACAAGGTTATACTCTCCTGGTAACAATATAAACAGCAAAAAGTCGAATCCAATGACAAACTTCAATGTTTAAAAGTATAATGTTAATGATTGTATATGGCATCAGTTGTCATTAGTTGTGCACTTCTTAAATTGACCGTTGAGCTGCCTATCAGGTCTTCAGCAAACATGGGCAGAACTGAGAGGGAGTCCAATGGTCAACTGGAGGAGTGCACAGGGTGGGCTTACAACAAGTGCTTCCAATTGCAAGGCAGTGGCTTAGTTTTGTCACCCTGATACAGGAAGTGATGTTACTGGCAGGATCTCCAGGTACGGAACTTTGCAATAGATTCACTTAAAATTATTAGATTATGGCATAATGCCAAACATGCTAAAGAATGGATTTTGGGTTTTCATACACATTAGGACTGGTGTCTCTGCAATATGAACCAAATGAAGATTAAGACACAACAACAATCCCCTTAGCGCCAATATAACATTTACTAATTAGGCTTCTAACAATAAATCATGATTCATTCCTCTGTCTGGCCCTATAGGGATTTTATCCTCTTGATGGCAAAAAATGAATAAAAGCATCTTAACAGACATTGTTAACATTTATTATCATATGAACAGTGACACTGCTTGCTCAGGTAATAATTGAAAGAAAATATTTACTTCTTTACTGGAAAAGTTGGTACTTTGCTTTATCAATTGTTTATCTTGTTAATACCACAAA